CATTCCAGAATGTGGAATTCTTCCTTCCAATAAAGCAGATCAATAATGGGTATTGACACTGTTTTCCCCCTTATGTATGTAAACACCCTTCCCGGATCATAAAACCTTACAAGTGAAAATGGTAAATACTTTTTCTTGTAGAGCTTAACTGACTTGTAGGTTATTGTTATTAATAATAACAACAGTAAAAACAACACATGTTATATTTACAGGTCGACATGGTAGCTGGCTTTGGGAGACAGTGCCTTCTGTAGCCCATAGCTGAAAACCCAACTATGGGTGGCAATTTTTATGAAACAGTATAGGAGTATATCAGAATAAACTCCTTTTCCAAATGAAGAGGTCATAGATTTTTCTTTCTTCCTTTAGTTTTAAAATGTGGCACACAGGGTCCTCACCCATGTGCCTCAGTTGGTTGAAGTCTCATGCCATACACCAAAAGATTGGGGTTCAATTCCTGGTCAGGGCACATACCTATGTTGTAGGTTTGATCCCCAGTTGGGGAGTGAATGGGATGCAGTTTCTTTCTCATACTGATGTTTCTCTTTCCCTTTCTCTCTCTCTAGAATCAATAAACTGATTAAAAAAAAAAGTCACATAGGAAGGTACACTTCTGATTTACTTCAGTTTAAGTGTAGAGCATAGTGGCTAAAAATACCAGTTCCAAAGTTAGGAGCTGAATCTTACTAGCTGTTGACCTCAATGAGACTTGGTTTCCTCACCTACTTGCCCTATAATAGGGTGGGTGTTAGAAATATAAGAATTAAAATGCGTAAATTACATAGAGTAGCATCTAGCTGGTGGAATGCACTGTTTAAATGTTATCCATTTTTGTTGGCTGCTTTACCTATAATCATGTTGTCAGCTTTGCTATTATCACCATGTGTAGCAGTAGATGTAGATTAAATCAAAATATGATTTCATGAGTATTGGAAACAGTAAGCCTTGATTTGCACTTATATTTTTGTACATTTTGTTATTACCTGTGCTTCTGTGCCTTTTCCCACTATCTATCCCCTGCCCCTTCCTTGTTTAGCTTGTGACTCAATTTCCAATTTGGGTCTCATTTTCCCCAAGAAGTGTTGCCAGCCTGTTTTCTTGATTCCTTCATTGACTAAAGTTTGAAGGAGAAAAGAATAAAGCTCAGGGTATGCATAGCCACCCCTATTTCACCAGAGAGGTCTCTCACTCAATATCTGCCCACAAATCAGCCAGTCCCTGTCGATCAGGGCTGTGGCCCCTGGAGGGGCCATCAGTCTGGTTTGGGGAACGGCTGTCAGCTTTTGGAAGGGTGCTGTTTTTCATCAGCAGAATTTCCTGTGATCTTATCAGGCTCTGAAAGGTTTTCTTGGCTTGTAACCATCCTTACCTTGGATAGCTTTAGAGTGTTTACTTTAAAAAAAAAAAGAGAGAGCGACTTTCACTCTTTGCTTTCTTATTTTGGGGGTTGGGGGTGACTAATTTGAATCTGTTAGGCCAGTCTCTAGTTTATAGATTCCAATTTTTTGGACCAAATTTATTAATACTGGATACATAGTTATACAAGTAATTTTTCTTGAAGCCATGACACTGGGTTCTTTTAAAAATTGAATCAGTATGCTTTTGATAGACCTACTAAAAAATCATATTGGTGCTTATGTAGTAAGAGAAGGCAATATGATTAATTGCAGCTAATTTTGCAATAGAAAATTATTGTCAGAGTCCATATTTTAACAATTATATTTGTGAGATGAATGGATTAGCTAGGATAATTACTGTCAATTATTAAAAATTATCTATAAAGTATTCAATTCAAATTTATAGATTTTATGTTACTATTTAATTTCCAAACAAGGCTCATAATGGCTGCCATATTTAAGTCTCATTCCATCATATGGTTCTTTTGGTACCATCAGAACAGATGGATAGAAGGAAAAGGTGAACCCTTTATCTGGGGGAAATGAGCATGTATAAAGAAGTCGACATTATTGAAAATTATATCTCCCTAATGACCAGATTCTGTGTCTCTTCCCCTGACCCGCTGACTTTCCCCAACCTTTCTTGGGCCTCTGCTCAGCATACATACTCACCACCACCTGCCCTGGTGCTCTCTCTTCTCCTGACTCTGCACTCTCCTCCCTCTTCTTAGGAGTCTGTCTCTAACTGTTCATTTTCTGATTCCTTAGAAAGCAGGATCAATAAACCTTCATGCTACTATTGAATTCTGTAATCGTGGTGGTGAATTCTACCAATAGATTTTCGGATGCTAAGCTTTTCTGAGCCATCCTTGTTTTTCTGAATTCAACCTACCCATATGAAAAAGTGTGTGTGTGTGTGCTATGGTAATACAGCTATTTTCTTAAGAGTGTTTCAGCTGGGTTCTTAAATGAGATGGCCTATGATTTCTCTTCCTCATAATGTCCTTGTCTAGCCTTAGTATCAAAATTATCAAGATCATAATGGCCTTAAAACTGCAGAGAGAAGAAAAGCTTTACCTCTTTGCCTAGTCTCGGAAATAATTTGTACAAAATTGCAGTTATATGTTTTTTAAGGAGTTGGTAAAACCGAGCCTGTAGCCCTTTCCTACATTCTGTGCTTGAGAGTATATATGTATTTTGTCTGGTGTTTGAAACTCTAATAATCTCTCTAATTAAAATCTAATCTCTGATTAAAAGAATATAATTTTAAAAGTTTGTAATTTTTTTAATGGGGGGTATGCATATTCTTACAGCAAGGGGTGAGGAGCTTTATAACATTGCATATTAATTAGAGAATGGAAGAGATAATTTAGGGAGTGGACTAAAGACAAGGGAAGAGATGGGACTGAAACCAGATAGTAGGGACTGATTAGCAAAGAAAGATGGAGCATGATGGTTCTGATCTCCCAGGGAAAGGTGAGGTGGTATGTATTGCTGCAGGCATATTTTCAGTTAGATGGGTTGGTGCAGGAATTTTGCCCCAAGGCCCTGCTGGCATCCAGTAGGAGGGAAAACCCTGTGATGTGCACGTTGAGCTGGGCCGACCTGGTGGAGGAAGGCACACGAAAGTCAAAAACAGAGAGAGCATGCAGGTTACCCAGCTTGGATGGAGTGTGAACTATAAAAATGTAGATTTCTAGTGCGGAAGCTCATGAGCAATATAAATAAGGAAAACTGAATATTGGCAGAACTATGTGCTTCATTTTCCCCTCTCTGCATGGTTCCTTTTATTATTTTTGTATTTTAGGAAGTGGTATAACCATTGCTCAGTATAGGTTTTAAACCCCAAAATATGTATCTTCATTCTGGTTCCTGTTGGTCACTCTCTTTCAATTCTTCTCAATGAATAGAAAGATAAGTGTGTGGAAAATGAGTTAATTCAGATCTTTCCTTTTGTTTTACCTAAGACTCAAATCATCTCTACTTCCTATGTATGAATATTTCTGTAACTGTGTAAATACTCATAAACACCTGTATTTATAAATACTGTGTTTAAAGAAGATATTAGTACTAGCTCCCTAACTGAGTTATTAAATGGTTTGAAGGACCATTTATTAATAACCTTTTATAGCTCCATTGCCTTTTACATGCTTGACTATAAATACGTATTTTGTTTCAATTGACTTGCCTATGAGGTGAAAAAAATTATATAAATTACTAAAAATAATCAAGACACTATAAACATGAAAATTTCAAAAACCAAATAAATACTGTTCTCTACATAACTCAACCTTTCTTTTCTTTAAGCAGAATAGAACTTTCAGTTCATGTCATTCTTTCCTCAATAACTGTTAGTAGAGAAATGCCATATTTGTTATACAAAGTTATTTCTGGAAAATAATCCACTCTGGCTATGTAACTCAGTTGGTTAGAGCGTTGTACTGATACACCAAGGTTGTGGGTTTGATCAGTCAGGACGCATACAAGAATCAACCAAAGAATGCATAAATAATGGAATAACAAATCAAATGCATAAATAATGGAATAACAAATCAATGTTTCTCTTTCTCTCTCAAAAAAATTAAAAAATAAAATAATGCATCTCAATTACATCAACAAACACATTTTTATGGGACGTGCATATATATTTTCATATAAGATGTCTTTAGCATCTGTTTTTGTTGAAACAGATTATCCCTGTGCTACACACACGTTCCCTCTCAAGTGAGTCACTTTGTTGATTTGACAGTTGTCACGTGCCTATTCAGTGTTAAATCCGAGAGAAAGAGATGATCCTGATCCGACAGCATGGTTAATTGTCAGGGCTGATTGTAAGGTGTGGCACAAATGGCAGGAAAATCACTGACTATTTTTTTAGTGTCAGAAACAAGCCAATGAATTGTACAAAAAGGTTTAAGAAGCAACATTACAGTCCTCTTTGAATACTGTCATTTTATCAGAAAAAAAGAATAGGACTCTAGGTTGAAGGCCATTTAATAGTCCTTATAGAAAAAAAAAACCCTCTCCAAAGAGTAGCTCTTTCTTAATTTCCCTTAGAAAAAATGCAAATGAGGCCTAGAAGTAACTGTGGATTTCTCATCTAGGAAGGACAAGTTTAACCATGAGGTCAAAACAGAAACCCAAAGGATAAAGGATGGGGTATGGAACATCGTCTTTGAAAGAAGGCAAATGGTGCTCCTATATTTGTCCTCGTTCCGACAGAGGGCTTCTGTGATTTTTTTCCAAGTCTTTAGCTCTTTCCTGTCAAGTTGCACAGGAAATGGTCTTTTCTGTGAATAATGTGTTATTTTCTGCCCAGCCCAGAGCCAATGGGAAAATGCACATCTGGCTTGTAAATCACAACCAAGCATGGGTGCCTTGCTCATTTTTTATTGGGTGGCTGTCTTTTGTGCTTTACACATTCTCAGTGTGGATTATGTGACATCCTGATGGAAACTTCCAGTGGCCCCTCAACAGTCACCTCAGGGGACCTTTAAATCCTCTCTGAAATGTAATGTTTGCTACCTGAAGTGCACTCTCTGTGGTCCCTAAAAGAAAAATCATTCATTTTTATCTTTTCATTTATTTATTTTTCCTATTTAGAAATTGGCCCCTGGTTACGGGAGTTCAGAGCGAAGAATGCTGTGGATTTCTCGCAGTTAACATTTGACCCAGGACAGAAAGAACTTGTTGTAGGAGCAAGGTGAGAGATCTTACATTTTGGACTTTGTTTTACATCTGTGCATTTACACGTGGGCCGCTCTTCCATAATTGATGAGTGCTCAGTAATAATTCTTCTAAGAGTGAAATACAGTGTGAGTGTCATAAAGTATGCTGCTGATAATAGGATGACTACTGCTTTTTACAGCGTGCATTTATTGGGCCCTCCCCACGTGCCAGGAACTGTTCTAACATGAATTCACTCCCTTTTCCCTCTCATGAATCCTGAGACGTAGGTATTGTCAATATCCCTATTTTAGAGAAAAGGAAATCGAGGCAGGAAGTGGATAAATACATGGTCCTGGGACACGTTTATTGTGGTCCTGGGAAACGTGGGTCTGGACCCACGTTTCAGACCCAGACAGTTAGACTCCAGAAACCATGTTTTGAACTTCTCACCAAATTCCTCAGCAAAATTCTGCAGATCAAGACACCGTCGTGCTCATTCTGGCCCATGTGATGATGATACACCATTAACCTGCTAATTGAGAATTCAAGGAAGTTGCTACTGTTTATATCCAGGTCAGCATTTGACCTTCCAGTTTGACACTGAGGCCATTGGAACACTGTCAGCACAGATCTGAGTTTTTCCCTCGTATTTACCAAGACTTCCTCAGCAAACTGTATAATCCCTGCCTTCAAATCATCTATCCTGCCAGTGTATTTTGAAGATGGTGTATAAAAAAGCACTTTATATCCATCTCTTAGGAAATATGACATGGAACTAGAAGAGAGAGGCAATTTGCAGATTTGGACCCTTGTGGCATCCAGGCACAGCACTCTGGGCGGTGGAGTGCTCACATCTCTTTCGCCCAAATTTACTAGATTATGAAACATACCTTTCTTAGCAGAGAAGTTATGCAGTTTCCGTATAGACCTTAGTGAAGCTAAATATGGCTTATGTTCCGGGCATTCAAGACAGACATCGAACATTTTCTAGGGTCATTGTTGTCGCTGTCAGATCTTAAGGAGCCTTTGTGCATCCATCTGATACCTGAAGATATTAAGATGTGTGTTTCTAACTCTAAGTGAATAGACAGAAGTTGATTTAGTTCCTGCCACTGAACATGCCACCCGAACCTCTTTTGATATTTGTGGGTGGACAGTGAGTGGGGACTGGATGGGCTCACTTGGTGTGCTTTTGCTTTACTGCAGCCCACTGGGGATGCTTGGTGGGTTTCTGATGCCAATTTTCATAAAATTCCATCCCTGGGAGCTGGACTGTTTGTAGCGAGGATTTTTAACTGGTCTGCTACCCTCCAGATTTTCTCTTCCTTCAGCAGGCCATGGCTAATGTCATTTTTTTAAATATCCACTTTCAGTAGCTGCCATTGGGTAAACGCTGGCTCTTTGGTGTGGTCCACCAGCTCCTTTGCCTCGTGGTCCCACATCTCTTAACAGATTCACCTTTTCCATTCTCACCCAGTCCAGGCATGTGGAATTATTTATGTTACCCAAAAAGTAAACCATTCTCCTTCTTGCCTTTGGTATTCTGCCTTTTACTTTTCTGAAATATTAGCTGCCTACCCATCCCACCCCAAATATCTACTCAGTGAATTTGTAGTTAAGGACGTCAGCGCAAGGCTCCTCCCTCTGGCCTGATCTGCTACATTTTCTTCTCTGTGTGGTCTTATTAGAATTTCTGTTAGACGACACCTGCTATCTACCTTTATTAGTGTACTTAATGTATTATATCTTGCTTGGTGTCCTTCCTCCACCCTCCATTTTCATATAGTGACTTACCAAATGGTGGAGAGGATGTGTCTGTATTATCTTTGTTTCTCCTCCTGGTAAAAACTCTGAGATGGCTGGTGTCTCTGTATGCATATTTCTAGGATTTGATTTGTATACGCACCTCTCTGCATCTGGAGGAAACTTCAGGGAACAGAGGGGGTATGAGTTGTAGCAGGAGTTGTGGCAAATTCATCCCAGATACATACAGTTGAGCAAAGACACAAAGGAGTGCAGCCTCTAAATACCTAACCTAGCCCTTATGGAAGACAAACTCTTTCCCGTAGCCAAGGAGGAAACAGGCCCCCTCCTGTTATTAGCAGGGGCTAATATGACCCTGACTGGTGTAGCTGGGTCAAAAACCCCTCATTCAACTCTAAAGAACTTTGGATAAGATTTTCTTGTGAGTTTGACTCAAAAGACTCTCCATTGTTTCCGGAGGTGGAGCAGGCAGTGCCTCACATGTGCATACACTCTGCTGGTGGCTGGCGTTTGGTCGATGGCACACAGACTCCTAATGAACGTGAGAAGCCATGGAGCAAAGTGGGGCTTAGAAGAGACATCTCATAGTCCATCTTGTCTGGAGACAGTGCCTGACATTATTCCGGGGGAACACTTGCTCTGAAGGTCTCCATCCGGGTGGCCCTGGAGGTTTCCATCGCAACATTGCTGCAGATCTCTATCCCAGTGTTCCTGGAAGTCTTCCTCCCAGTGTCTTCGGGAATCTCCACCTCAGCATTCTTGGATGCCTCCATCTACCTCATCTCACCCCAGTCCTAGCCCAGCTATGCTGAGAGGGATTGGACTAGCCTCCGGGTCGACCTAGCAGGCTATATGGCATGGTGGCCAGGAGCGATAGGATTAGCACATAAAAGTCCAGGATATGCAGTTAAACTTGCATCTCAGATAAGCAATCCTAGAACATGGGCTGTATTTTCTATTCTAGTACAGTGCATAGTACATTGTAGACACTCAACAAACAAAAGAAAAGGTAGATGGTTGGATTTGCTCAGCTGCATGACCTTGAGCCCTTTTCCGTCTAACTTCCTCATTTTTAAAAGTGATAGAATTATTTCTATGCCTTTCAGCAGTTGTGAGGATTAAATGAAATAATCCCTAAAAAGTGATTGTCACAGTAGCAGGCACCCAGTAAGCCCACAGTGGTAGGGGGCTCTGTGGGTACCTATGAGTTGTGGCATACATATGCATATGTATATTTCTGCAGTTATCACTGCATAAGAGCAGGAAATTTACCTGGAAAACTTGGTGGTATTAGACTCAGAATGCTTGAGAAGGAGTGTGAGCCAGTTATAAAACTTAAAAAATAATGCAGCCCTCAGATTCCTTTTTGGGAGGGCTTGACCTAGCAAAATAGATTTAGATAGCAGGTATATATTTTAGAAATCTGGAATGGTTTAAACATATGATTGGTAGAAAAATATGAGTCTTTTTTTTCATATTAGCAGTAGGCATTGTAAAGCCATTTACTGGATGATTTCACTTTATACCAGTTTCTGAAAATTGAATTCAGTTAAAAATTCTTTGTGCTCTTTGCAAAAAGAAGTTCACTGTGCTTCAAAAGAAAAACCTTTCCATGGGTGATTGGGGTTGGGTAGTGCCAGAAGGTCCTTGCCTCTGGATTCATATATTTTCTGGACGAAGCCCTAAATTTCCAATTTTCAAGGAGCACATTATCTTTCAGGATATTTTAAAAGCATTAACACTCATATTCTGTTCTACCCAAAAATTAATAATGTTGGTGGGTGTTTTCAGTGATGAGAGACTCAGACATTGTCACTCTAGAAAATATGGTAAATACAGTAAAGCATAAAGAAAAAACACAATTCAGAAATACTTACAGTTAACCTTTTTAGTTTTTTTCTTTATAGTATTTGATTTCTATTGGTTTATACTATTGGGATAATATTTATGAATAATTTTCATATTTTTGCCCCAAAACCTACTTAAAGCAGTTCTCATTTTATTTATATATATATAAATGCATATGTATGTACTTATGTATAAATACATATATATACATATATAATGTAGTATAACATATATATATTCCAGAATGAAGGAATATTTGTGGTTTAGAGATATTTGAACAGGTAATTATGAATGTAATGATAGTAATAACCACAAAGTAGGCACAAGTGTAAGTTTCCAGAATTCGGGGTTGTAACAACACATGTAAGGAAGGGTGATTACATTTTAATTCTCCAAATGAATCTGATGGTCTTTAATGCCTCCAGTTCATTGTAAGGATGACAAGTGATTCTGTGCTAACTTTAAGCATCAGTCCAAATGGTGCCTGACTTGGTCTGTACCCAGTGTGGGGCATTTACAAACTAGCCATATTTTTTATAAAGCCTAAAGCTGTATACATCATCAAGGAAAAGAGATTCTCATCAAACATAAGAGGAGTTGATTTCAGCTTTTTTTTAAAATTTTTTTAGTACTTTTCTTCCTATAACTTGATTTCTGATGATCTCACCCTTCTCTGACAAGGTCAGTGTCATAGAAGCACATAAATTGAAGGGCACAGTGAGAACATTCACCCATAAGCTCTCACACGGTCCCCTTGTGGGCCACTTGCTCACGATGAAGGTGGTGAAATGGACCCAGTATTTGGGTCAGGGAATCATCATGTTTGACAACAAATATAATGATTTTTGTCCTTGGAAATGAAATTTTTTAATTCTATTAAAGTTGCATCACAAAATGGTAACATTATAAGCATATCAAGAATTAGGGGCATAGGGATGCCTGAGGTTCCTTGCACACCTGACGTGATGTGAGCACCAGCCCACTGTGCGCCTTGCATGGGCCTTGCATTGGATTATAACTAACAGATTATTTTCATTTATAGGAAGGTATTTCTCTACACTGTTTGTACAACACATAGGATGGCTTTATAGTCAGCATGCTGATGACCAAAAGCTAAGTCTAAAGCCTGAGTGCTTCCAAGGCGGAGCTTGGTGTTCCTAATGGTCGCAACAGACTCATTTTGAAAAACGTTAGTATATTTTTATGAACCATTCGTTTTACTCATGGTTTAAATCTACAAAACTAAAGATAAAAAGTAAAGATAAATTACTTCTGTTGTGTTGGAGCTGCATTTGCTTTAAGTATTCAAAGCGTCTATTCCCATAAGATCACATGAAATGAATGGGCAGGCTTTTGTTTCATTGGAATGATTTCCTTTTTTCAAAATGATTTTGTCCCTGGTTCTAAACAAAGGAAGCTACA